TTGGGCATATTTCTATATTTAAGTTGACCAAGAATAGATCTTCCAAAAGGAGTTTGAGCATTTGCATCACTTTTCTGTTTGAAAGTTTCAAAGTATGCTGCAGCAGTTGGAGCATCAACCGGAGGATTACTTGTAATAGCAGCATGAAGTGGAATATTTAATTGATTCATATTAAAATGATCAGAATTCGTAAACAAGGAATAAATATCTCTATATGTCAAAGAATTTCCTGGATCAGGTTTAATTGTAGGTTCAGGTTTCTTATCAGAGTCAAGGGCTTCCATACGACCTTCTTTAATCCAAGCTGCAAATAAATTGCTCTCATTCATTAAATCGTTCACTTTGTCAAACCTTTTACTTTTGAGCGCATTATAAATAAGAATACTAGTATTGTCATCAGAGATATCCCCATACGAGTAGGATTTAGGTGGGGTTAAGTTTCTTTCTTTACAATAACTATTTATTTGGTCTGTTACGTTTATATTTTCAAATAAAAGTTTGACTTCATCCTCATAAGTTACATCTGGTTTTGGCTCACCACTCATTCTTTTCGATAATCAATTTCAACTAAGAGAATATAATTCTCTTTTTTTTTAAACACAAAAATCGTCCTTTTTTTAAATGTTTTTTGGATTATAATTTTTACAAATTCCAAACCTACCAAAAATATCAATGCCCTCACCGTTAATATTAAAAAAAAATATATATCAATGCTTTAGCCAATTTGCATCTGTCACACTGCAAGTCATTAAAAATTCCGGTTTAAAGTTTGAATCCAATCCAAATATAAATGATATCTCTAGCAATTAAATGAACAGGAGGAACCGTCGATGTTACACAACTGATCCTTCACCTGGTGTGCAACATATAAAATAATTTTTTTATACTGTATGTAGCACACCGGGTGAAGGGGTAATATAGTACGTGATCGGGTAATTAATCAATTTAAGTGATAGTCGCACTTATAAATTAAATTAATCAGATCAACTTAGTGAGTGATGTAACTGATGTAATTAATAAAGGGGCACTTAATTAGTAATACAGTAATATTAAGAATAGCTATAACGAAATATGACGATACTTCGAAGTAATAAGGATTTAACGGATTTTTCAATATAACGGTTATGAATTAGTTTTTATTAGGTAAAGAAGATTATAAAAACAGACTGATTCCAACACTTGAGAAATCGATTCTTTTATGTAACCCTTTAAGACATCGAAGTCTGAAGAATTTATTAGAACCTCGAAAGGTCCTCTTTTATACTTAACAAACTATTAAGAGGCACTATAATCGAACTTTTAGATCCTTGAAACAATTAGTTTCATTTGTTAATACGGTTGCCACTAAGTTTGAGTGATCTAAAGTTTTGCTACTACATGATCTCGGTACGATTACACTAATTCGGATACGATCTTTGATGGCAAAAGGGTAAGTATGTACAATTTTAGAAATTTCTATTTACAAATAAAGGGCTTGTACTGATTCTAAGTTTCACACAGCCCGTCACGAACTCTACCGTCACACCCCTTTTCACGTTACTACCGTAACAGTAGTGGAATCGAGGTCAATAGTGTATATCAATTAGATTTTTAGATTAATTGAAATTTCTTAAGAGATTTATAAAATTGGATAAAAATAGATAACTCAATACTTATGAAGTCTCTTATCAAAAGTATTCGTCCCGTATCAATTCAGAAATCATTTACCCTTTTTCAACTTGCGTTCTGTACACACTAGTTATGTGTAAATCATTATAAATGTTATGCGTAATTTTTAAAATTCTGTCAATCATTAATTGACGTGTCATTTTTCAATTGAAAAACGTCATACGTCATTTCTCAGTTAAAAAAAACTGGCAGAAAGATTTACTATACGTTTTACATTTAACCGAAAATATGCAAGATATATTAAAAATTTATTAATATAACTAAAAATGTTTGCATTATTCACGTAAAACGCATCCACAGTGCCTTGAGTATAACGAATTTTTATTTCTACAAGAGCAAGATTTAGTGCTGCAATTTGTTCTTCGCAACTGCAAGATTTGGGCGAGTTTTTGACTTGAACCATTATTATTTGCACTGTTACTTCAATTTAAATTATATCAGTAAAATTTTAATTGAAATTCGAAAAATTTTATTTACTTACTTCGGAAATGTTTGAGTTAAGTTTTCTTGGGTATTCTTTAGTTGAGCATTTTTGTGTTAGGTGTTCTTGAGTTGGAGTTCTTGCATAATATGAATTGTATGACTTGGGTGTTGAACAATATAAGTTTGACGTTCCTGAATATTGTGAATTGGACATGTAATATTTTGCTTTGTGGGATTTTTTAATATATTAAGACATTCATTGTAGCATTCTCTGTCTATAAAGCTTCGTTTGTGTATTTTCCAATATTCGGTTAAAGGTCTCACGGGTCAGCAAAGAATAACTTTGTAGATTCATTAGTAGAAAGAGAAGAAAAAAAATGCATGAAAAATATTTTTTAAAATTTATTTATTCATCATTATTGGCATCATTAATAAGCTATCGTTGATTATAATATAATCTGAATTAAGAATTGGCCTGGGCCATTTATCAATTGGTGGAAATTGAAAAAAACAATTAATAATCAACGTAAATTGAGAAATGACGCATAACATATAAAAAACATTAATTCTGAAAATCTCCAAAGAAAATTTTGAAACAGATATGCTAAAGCTTATATTTATAGAAAAAGCGTATTATACTAAACTTATAGATAATTTAAAATCTAAAATTTTAAAAGCTAAAAGCCTATACTTACGTTCTAATAATTCAATATATAAAAAAATATTTATTATAATTTTATATTCATCATATTTTATAACCATCAATAGACATTTATTGTTTTTCGAAAAAAAATTTTATTCATATTTTTATATAATCATGTACGTACTAGATAGTGATATTGAATATAAAATCTAATTTCCCGTATATATTATCTCTAATTCACTCATAAATTTACGTTCCTGGTTTCGCGTGATAGTATCATTTAACTACTTTATGACTACTAAAATTGTTAATTCCACATTCCACAACGTTATGGAATTAAAAAAAAACTATCTGTGATGTTATTTCTATAATTGTGGATTAATTCCCTGCATCACTAGCCAGTGGCCAGTATAATTGTAACGAAACCCATCCCTATTTCTATTCTTTCAGGGATAATTGTTTGAAAATACTCGGACTCTTCATGATTTTTTAGAAATTTAGGATGAATTGTGCTTGGAAGATATATCTTATATAAACTTTTCTTATGAAGCCACCAAATATAGTACATATCTCTGCATTCAGTCTACGCAGTATAGTAAATTATAGTGATGTTTATATAGTCTACAAATAATTTTTTTCTCACTACCAGTATTATTACTATTAATTCTTAAAAAGTGATTTTCTGCCGCTTTTTTACCTTCAATATGAACAAGTTAAAGTTGTACGCTTGCAGAGAATCTCGTTTAGTGCTTTTCTTCCATCGAAGTTAATGCCATTATAAGAAAGTTCCAATAAAGTCAAAGAAGTATTTATATGGAGTGCTTCTGCAAATGCTTTTCCACCTTCATCACCAATGCCATTACTACAGAGATTTAAAGAAATTAGCGTAGTGTTTTTGCAAAGACTTTTTGCTAGAGCTTTTCCTCCTTCAATACCAATATTATTGCCGGAAAGACATAATGAAGTTAATGTTGTGTTTATCTGAAATGCTTTTGCAAATGCTTTTCCACCTTCAACACCAATATCATTCCCAACAAGATTTAAGGAAACTAGCGTAGTGTTCTTGCAAAGAACCTTTGCTAACATTTTTCCTCCTTCAACACCAATTTCATTTCCTCTAAGCTCCAAAGAAGTTAAAGTAGTGTTTGTATAAAGTGCTTCTGCAAATGCCTTTCCTCCTTCAGTGCCAATATATTCATAACTAAGATTTAAAGAAGATAAAATGGTGTTTGTATAAAGTGCTTGTATTAAAGCTTTTCCTCCTTTAATACCAATTTTATTTCCTTCAAGTTTAATTGAAGTTAAACTAGCGTTCTTACAAAGAATCTCTGCTATTACTTTATAATCAAACGAATTTTCGCAAAGATCTAAATAAATCAAATTATTATTTCTACATAAATTTTCAAATAATAGATTATTAACATCAATAAATCCAATGATTTTTAAATATTTCAGGTTCATATTTGTTCGTAAAAACATTGCAATTAAAGAACATTTCATAGTATTTACAAGATAATTATAATTACATTCCCATAAATTACGAATATTCTTATGACCATAATTATTAAGCCAATTCATAACTCCACAATTTAACCCACCGCTAAAAGAAGTAGTATAACTTGTATAATCAAATAATTGTTTTGAATAATTCGGAAAGTGAATATTAAAGGGGATTAATAATGCTTGTTCTTCAACATTTAATGCCAAAAGACATGTATTTATAAATTTTCGATTTTTTAATTTTTCATCTATATCAATCCATAATATTAGTACAATAATTCTACACCAGTGACGGTTTACAAGAAGGCATGAGTATAAGCTTTTACAATCATTCTGGAGATAATTAAATATTTCTAATAAGCATTCATTCGGCAATTTTATCATTTTAAAACGAAAGGGGAATAAAAATAAAGAGTTATACGTAAAAGTATTCGATATTTATATATAGCATGAATGTTATGAAACGTTGTAATAGTGTAACTATTTACAATGATGCATTAACCATAGCAGATCCACGAAGTTTATGTATGAAGTCCCTTTTTTAAAATTTTTGTTAATATCTTCTAACGAATATCTGAATAAATTTTTAGTTCTAATTCTACAGACTTGTAGAATAAAATAAAACCGTTTCAAGTTTATCTCAGTTATTGAGAAGTATTCACTTAAATTTTTAAAAAACTACCGAATCTTAAAAAAAAAAGACAGCGATTGTATCGCTTTAACTTTAACCGAAATTTTTACAATAACTGCCAAACCAAATTCGATAAAGATGCTTTTATTTTAGTTATATAAATTTTTAAATTTAAAATAAACCGATTTTCATCAAATTTGATCGAATAGTCATCAAAAAATCACGTATATATGTTTAAAAAATTTTGAACTTGTAATTGCATTTGTTAAATATTCTCAATAACAACCGATCAAATTCAATAAAAATTTTTTTCTGTTTAAGTTTTATTGACCTGTAAAATTAAAATAAAAATCATTTTTACCAAATTTTGTTCGGCAGTTATCAAAGACTTTCTGTTTTAAAGTTTAAAATATACGAATATTCAACGTCTTAAAATTTTAAGTAAATATCTTTTGATAACTGCTAGAATAGACTTGTGATTTTTTTTTTATTTAATTCTGAGTTTGTAGAATTTAAACAAATATTCTATCAAAATTTTCAATCTAAAGTTTTAGAAATATTAAACTTTTAAATGAAATTATTGATCTGTAATGGCTGTGATTTGTAATTAGTGATGTGAACACATTGAAGTAATTAGTTATAACACATTGTAACAAAGTTGTAACTTTTTATGTCATTGA